GTCTCAGGAGAAATCTCGAACACATTGAGTCAAGTGACTTACAGAACCATTCTTCTTCCAACCTCCGGGCCAGTATTAAGTGGAGTATCCTGGAGCTGAGTTACATCTTTAAAATAATTTATTAAGTAAACCCAGTCTTCCCCGAAGATCTATCAGAGAAAAGTGCGGGAAGCTCGTTTCAATTGGATCAGGGAATGACTCGCTACAACAAAGATTTAACCGCCATCTCGCGCCGGTTTTGAAATCTTTGTACGAGTAACTGTCCGATGGCTCAACTCCGGGGCTTCCATGTTTGGGAGGCTGTACGTATGCTGCTACTGCCGTGTGTCACCCAGTGGAGAGGCGAATGGAGAATAACGGTACAAGTATGACTTCACTGCTCTACTCTCTCGCCGAAGATTAGCCGAATTCATCAGTTATGTGCCGACCATAGAACAAGGAAAATTCTTGACTGAAGGAAACTATGTATCACGTTTATCGAGATCGAGCTAGTTGAAGCCCTTTTTTTTGCTAGCTGATGAAAGGCTTTGCCGCGAAGTTCACAAAAAAATCAATGCAGAGTTTGTTTTTTTTTTTTTAAGGATATGGCTTTGTGCTTGTGGAGATGTCGGTATTATAAATCCAAGATAATTTGTGATTTCAAAACTCGGAAATTTTTATAGGGAGAGGTGCTTTCGATTCGAGAATGTGGGTCACGTTGAGGGCTCTCACCACGATGTCGTATTGGAATCGTCTCGAGGGCGAAGGAGAATAAAGGAAAAGGAGGTGCAAAGGAATCGTACACAGGAATTATGGTGTTGGCGGCGTTCCACGTTGATGGATTTTGGAGCCGCAACGGATATCTATTTTTCACTGCCGAACGCAGGAGGGGCTCTTGGAGAATACACGGTCTTTGTCCAATTGTCAGCTGTCTATCCCTGCTCCTCCCTCCTTCAACTTCTTGGCGTGACGGGGGAACTGATAAGAGTTTAACAAGATGAGACACCGTTGGGGTGCCTCACATCCGATGTCGTTGCGGTTGTACATGGTGGGGGAACTCCGTCGAACTTGTTCCGTCGAGAGAGCTTGCCAGGTTCGACGAGGGTTTATCCGCGATGTCTACTTTGCTAGGGATTTATTATGGAATTTGAACGTAATAATGGTGCTTAGGGGCTTTTTTCGACTCATGATGGCCGGGTTAAAGTATAGGGATCGTCACGCTTGAAAGGCAAAATTTCGTCGGAATTCTGAAGAGATCGATGCGGTACATTTGAGGAACGAGGTTTTCTTCACGCTTCAGGTATCCATTCGGTTCTCGTTTCGAGATTACATCGGGTGCTCAACGTAAGTGGATGAATGTGTGGAAGCCATCAATGGACGCGTTTCTATGGCTACAAACGCGAGAAGCCTCCATCTTGGTGATAGTGCTCGGATTATATCATCCAGGATTGATGGGGGAGAATAAACGTCAGGACCCTTAAAAAGGGGCGGACATTTCGTGTCACATTTCGGGGCTCTGACGTGGCCGAGAAGGGCCTCGATGCAATGAAAGACTGCCTTTCAGAGGAAGGAAGACGGGGGAAAAAAGCAGCTCTTTCTTATATATTGATCACTTCACTTTCATATATTTTTCTTTCCTCCATCGCCTCATATTTGCAGTCTCACGAGAGAAATGTTTGCGAGCTTCCCAGAATTTCCTACTTCTAGCATAGATATTCGTCATGATACTTGGAAGCTTCTGAGTAGAGTTTGCTATCAATGCGGATCCCGGGGGTTTTTTCTTGTCCCCTTTCCTTATTTTATTCCTCAGGGACTTCGGATGAAAGTGCCCCTTCATGTATCCCCTGGAAAACAAATATTAGACCCATCGCAAAAATGCGTCTAGGATTTTCCTGGTGGATATAGAAGGAGCTTGGAGGGGAGAAGCAAAGCATAACCGTAGTCAGAGGGGGAGGGAGTTTGACTAAGATGCATATCGGGCGATTCTGTATGCAGGTTTCGCCGTTGTCATGGGTACAGGTATACTCAAAGAAGGAAAAGAAAACGCTTGCATATTGAAATTCCATCCATTTGATTGCTTTTCGAAAGTACGAGGTTCGTGGTTCATACAGATTGCATTATTCAATTTACCCCTAACTTCCGTGAATATTCATACTATCGGCAAGAAGATCAGGCACGCTCTTCATACGCGATACTTTTATGGAGCAATATGAAACAGGTTTGACGGAGATGATTCTAATCGATCATAATTGTCTATTCTAAGGCAGTGTTCCCCAGAAGGGTTTGCAGATATGCTCTCTAACTTTTTTGTTTGTTCTTTTTGAGGAACTGGAGGCCAAAGCCAATGTGGAAGGTTATGAACTTGCAGACATGCAGCACTTCTTAGGCACGTCATTGATACTCTTTGGTAATTTATTAAAAGTACCTGTGATCATAGTATATACAATGCCAATTGGCCATCAGTTCCATCATCCCTTTGGGAAAAAAGCTTCCCTCTATTTTGTTCTTGTCCTGTTTGTGGCTGTATCACTTTCGTGGCCCCTTCCTACCCCCCCAAAAGCATGAACGATGTGTGGCAGGATCTAAATGAAGTCTCTTAAATATTAATATTCAATTTAAGTGAAGCTGAAGTAAATTCCTGTCATCTTCCTCTATCGAAACCGAAAAAAGAGCCAAATGCACATTTTCCTCCTGACTTGAAGGAAGGGAGGAAGGAAGGAAGCATGCAATTTGAGGAAGCATGCACCATTAGTTCTCACTGGATAAGTGAGTGCATTTTCATACCAAGCAACTGGTGTTGCGAAGGAGAGTCCATTTGTCATCTACTCCCAGATGGGTTTGAAACAGATGAAACTGTGACGATTTGTCATGAATCGTACGGTATAATGCCCCCATTCCCTCGATCACGAACCCCATTTATCCTGTTATCGTGTGTACACCCCACACCATTTATATGGGTTAATGGGTCCCGGACAACAACAAACTTCTCATCTCCCCCAAGAGCATCAATATTCGAGACCAGCAGGGACAGTCCCCTTTGTGCAATATCTTTTTCCTTCCTTCTTCCCCCCTTTCCTTCTCTAGAGAGGGGGGAGAGGATGAAAAATGGGAAGATGTGGGGCAGTATTCCCCATGAGGCCCCACATGAGAGAATGGGTTTACCCTTGCGCCTTTACGCTCCGAGCCTTTTGTTCCCCCCCCGCCGCCAGCTTCCCCTGTCATCCCATGTTTTATGAGTTTCCTTGAAAATATAAAAATAAAGATTCCTCTAATAGTTCCGTCTTGTTTTTGTCTGTGACCATTTTTTTGCCGTTTCGCAGCTAAAATAAGGAAACACATGATCTTAATGGCAGTGAAATTAGGCACACGATCGCGAATGGATAAGATGAGGCGAAGCTCGGTTCATCGCAAATTTACAATTGTCCAAATTGCCCCCAATGGCTTAGGGGCAGGGCCTGGCGGAGAGGGAATGGCATAGGTCCACTTGTGGATTGAGCTTCCCGAAATTTGTTTTCATGGATCTCTTTCTGACTTATCCTCTCCGTTGTCTTCTGTTCTATTTCTCCTCGTCTCTTCGAATCCAATCCCTTGAATATTGGGCTTTGGTCCTGCGAAAATTAAAACGGGAAAAGGCGGCACCAAACAATGATATCGATGTTATTCATTCTTTAAATAATATAAGATAAAAAGGATTTGGAAATTGAATTAAGATGCTCTAATTACATTGCCTTTAAAGTTTGTAAAGTATGCATGCTTCATCGATAGAGAAATTGGCGACTTATACATATGTGTAACAGCTCATAAATCGTCGCTGACAGACCTGGAGACGTTGTTGCTTGCTCTTCCAGACCAGATAACGAGCCGAGTCCTTTTGACTCTCCTCCTTATGAATAGTATATTGTATTTACCCTCCCATCCTGTAAAAACTGAGGCTTGTCGATAATTTGTGACACGAAGTAAAAGGGAAAGCGCAGTAAAGGAAGAGAAGGCGATAAGAAAGGAAGCGAGGATATTATCATGATGGTCGTAAAACCGGCTCTACCAATAACCATAAAGCCTGTATAAAATCTCTCTTCCACCCTCTCGGGACCGGTCGAGGTGCATGCGAAGTCGGCACATGTCCTCTAGCAGGATTATGACCTGGTTATGAGACTAGGTACAGTTGGGTCTAACTGCACCCGTGAGGGTCGTAATCCTCCTGGTCATCTCATGTGGATCATATCATAACGCGAGCGAAATGTAACGTCCAGGTCTAAATTATTCAGTCAGGGGAGTATGCCCTTCCCGTTTCTCCCTCTCATAATTCACTTTTCCTGGAGCTTCTTCCTGGAACGTAATCAAAAGTGATGCCATAGAGTGTATTCGTGGGAGGAGGAGGGACACCCGGAATTCAATCGGGGACATGGGGATATGACACAGAGAAAGACAGAAAAAGGAGTAGAATGGAGAGAAGTGTGCCAATGGTTCCCCCCCGGGGATTCTAGTACAGTAGACAAGCAAAGGCTTCCTCCTCCCTTTTTGCCATCTTTCCTCCCCATTCCCCCGAACCCCCCGCTCGGGGACCCACGTTCCAAATGCCGAGAATGGGGGGAAGATAGGCCCATGGCGTGGGGGCCCTCTCTTTCCCTCTCTTTTTTCGTTCCAGCTGAGGTCTACGTGACCTGTATACTTCCCACACCCTCAAAGAGACGGGAAAAGGAAAGAGCATTCCCTTTGTTGTACCGAGGAGGGAGGGACCTGTTGTAGGGGAGAAGGCTGGGACCATTTTCCCGGGACCAACGATGAAGAAAGACATCAATAAGAGAAGGGGGGAGCAGGTGCAACTCGGATCGAAGCAATCTCCTGCCTCCTTCCGCTTCCACATCTGAGGATATGAGAAAGAAAGAAAGGGAGAGAAGGAAGGAAAAAGAAACTTGGTGCGTTCCATCTTCAGGATTGATTTTTGGGTACCTGAAATGAAGTTGCATCCAGCCGTAGGACCACTCTTGACACGAGCCCCCGGGAACAAAGCTTAATGCTGAATGGAGTGGGGAAGAACGAAAGCCTCCGCCCAGTCAGTGACTGATGGACACATCAGCTCAACTCGCTACTCAAACCGATTAGGGTGGGGTCAACAGGGGCAGGGCCTTCGTGCCCTGCTAAAGGTTGAGGGAAATTATGACTCTTGAGCTTTGACTCCCGCGACCGGGCACGGGTTCCATTACCTTGATTGAAGGAGTCAGGGATATGGATCTGATCGCGTATCTACATAATAGAGCTCTGCTGTCAACATCCCTTTCCTCCCTCTCCCATCACGTTATTACACATCTCTGCGTCAATCTGTTACTTGTGCGCGGTCTAATTGACATTCTACAGCCGAGTCACGTGGGCATGCTGAATGTGTTCCCCCTCATTTTGATCAATGATTTCTGTGTTTGGTTTCTTCCATCTCTCCCCTTCCCCCTCTTCGAAGTGTCTCATTTTGGAGCCCGTATTCTCCCCCAGACAGAAGCATTGTCCCTGTCTGACGTGAATGAGAGAGACATGGGGAAAATTGAGGGACGAGCGCCTTGCTTCCTAGGCCTATTTCGATTTTGTTTGTATCCGAAGAGAATATGGAATTCCTGGGGCGAGACTGTGGCCTGTGGGAATCGATTGACTGAAAGAAAAAGGAGAGAGAGAGAAAAAAAAAGTCCCTGGGACCTTGGGACAGAAAGAACTTGGCTGCGGGACAAGGGAAATAATCCGTTTTCCCCAGTCCAATCCCAGTGGGACCTTCCCTCGAAATGGAGGAATGCAAGCAAATGCATAAGTTTCCCCCGGCCCCTGCTCTCACATCCTGCCCTGTGAGCATTTCTCATGAAAGTCTCTCGGAGCTCCAGAGACTTTTCCCCCCTCTTTTTGGGGAGAGGGAACGGCTTCGTGTGATGTGAGGTGGATCTGAGATTACTCCTCCCAAACTCCCTGGTAACTGCGATGCCATTTGCATCAAAAGTAGGTGCTCCTCTATTGGGGGAGCTTTCTAGGTGGATGAATATATACGAGTTGGGTAGTTGATATTCAAAATAGTCGTGGAAGGAGCGCACTCCCCTCAGGTGGAAGAAAAGATGCATAATGTGCTATTTCTTGGATGCTAAATTTCTCGCATTAAATTTTCATGTCGCTTCCGTCACAGCTTTTATCAACTCTGTATTTTTTTTTGCCCCCAGGATGTGTTCCATGTTCCTGCCCGAGTTATCGGCCTTGGTCGCAGCCCTCCTCTTCGCCCTTCATCCCGTTCACACCGAAGCTGTAAGTCACACTTTGAGAGTCTCAAGGGTGTCTCGGATGGGTTAAGGACTTTTTCATGTGCTGTAGAAACTTCTTTCTCAAGTAATGACTGCAAAGTTTTATTCGTGGCATTACAGTATTATAATAATTCCAAATGGATATTATGTGATGAAAAACGAATGACTGAAATTCATTAAAATTATTTGCGTATTACCCAGATAGACAATATTTAATGTCCATTGGAAAACTTCAAAATACGTGCTTTTTCAGACAATTCCACTCTTACAAAAAGTATCTCTCTCCTTTCATAGCAATACAAATAAAAGTACATCAGGTCGAGTCTACAAGCTCCCTGCCAAATATTTAATGTTATCCAAAGATTGCTGGAAAAAAAAGCAAAAAAGAAACTGATGGATAAGTTCAACCAACATTCTGAAAGAAAAACTCTGATTGTGGGTGACATAGGTGACAGGAGTAGTAGGCAGAGCGGAGCTCCTGTCCTCCATCTGCTTCCTGTCAGCGTTCGAGGCCTACAGTCGATCTGCCCGACCCAAGTCCTCTACAAGTGAGCCCCTCCTTCGTCCTTACGAGTATTAATGCAGCTGTGAATGACGCTGATTAGACCTCTGCTCTAATGACCGCACCCAACTCTCCTCACGTTGACTCCAGCAAATCCTCACTCCCCGGCCTCTCTTTATCGTCACCACCATCACCATTACGTCTATTGGATTCTCGATTCTCATTCAGTCCCGTCATTATGCAACAGGAAAAATACATAATACTGTCGGTAGTGTTTTTGTCCCTGGCCTATATAGTCAGTCACTAATGACCGGGCTCGAGGTGTGGACTTCTCCACCATTGTATTAATGGACTCTTCACACGCCATCTTTCTCCCATCCATAGCTGTCTAGAAGAACAATGGCTACCGCATAAATGCAGTGTTCTGTCATTAGTGCGCCTCCCATCGATCGACTTCTTCGTCATTCGTGACTGACTGTATTTTCTTTCTCTCCTTGGGGAAGGGACTTTACGCAACCCCGTCAGAAAAGGTGCAAGTATGCATACCATGCACGGGTGGCAGGACAGGTCGTATTTGCTCATCCTGATGAACTTATCGCCTTGGGATCGATGCCAAAATATTGCTTCTCATCGTTTCCCATGACACTATTTCGTAGCTGGAATTGAAAGCTCATGACCATACTGTATAATTTACCTTATATACCATATATCAGGCTGTTAATGGAGGAATACTGGCTGAAACTCTCTTGAGGCAACGGTTAGCTTTCCGTAGCACTTTCTTCTTTAACCCTTTCAGACCTGAATTAAGGCCGCTATCAGAATAATATCCTTTTTTGCATTTTTGAGCTCTTTCGTGATTGTAATTGAAATTTTCGCGCTTTATATGCAGTTTTCATATTTTGTATAAATTTACCATATCATACCATATATATTATATATTATACATTTAATTAAATAACTGAAGATTACAAAACTAATGGGTGAAAGAAGGCCTCTGATAGAACTAAGCCATGCATAATTGCGCCCATTGTAGCGTAATATGGAGGGCAAAGTCACGAGAATTCTAAGAAATTGCCATAGACACAATGTAAATGTAATGTCCATTGGTATGGGCGCCAGGTCTGAAAGGGTAAAAAAAAAATATTAATTAAATAATGATGGCTCCATGTGCCCCACGCTTCATGCAAATGAGATCAAATAGACGGAATGAGGACGAAGTAGCATTTCGCAGATGCCCGTGGGATTCACAGAGCAAGCTTATTCCATGCATTATACGGTCCGGAAATGCGCCTAGGGAATAATGGGATGAGATGCAGAGTAGAGCAAGGGCATAAATAATGTTTCGTGTGCACATAACACGTTATAAGCCCTGTCTCTGTGAGCACAGCGCTGTGCACCCTGAGTGAGATATTCATGTTGCCATTTGCATTCACGACGCATTAAGGATAATGAGTCTCCTTAACGAGGAAGCTTCCCCGTCTCTTTCTGATGAAGCCCTCAACAAGTCCTTTCAGTTCTGTCCTTTTTTTTTTTCCTCCCCTCTCTCGTGTATTCCCTCTTGGTCATGTCTCGACGGAAATTGGGAGAGTAGAGGTGGAGTGGATTGGTAGAGGTGCGAGTCAAAAGACGATCAAAAGGAAAGGGATGGAAACTTGGGATTGGCTTCCCCTCGTCTTTGGCGATAGCAACCGTGACGTATGTTTGCTTTTTTTATTCATTAATTCCTTTTTATTTGGCGTCAGATTGCAATCAAGGAAGTTCTTCGCCCTTTATTACTTCCGAGAATGCTCGAAAGAGACTTGGCTGGATATACCTGATTTCTGCTGTCGTAAAGAAGCTTTTTCCTCTTTCTCCTCACATTATGAAATTTTACTAGAAGTCATAATTATATCAGGGAGGGTAATGGGGAGGAAGATGGAAGGAAAATTCATCCATACTAAATGAGGATCCCAAGACCAGCTTCTTTCACTCTCCCGCTATTTTTCTTTCGTCAAGGAATTGAAAGGGGTTAGTGGTCTGGGTTTTTTTTTTATCGGTAAGGAGAAGAATAGGCCTTGTGGTGAAAAAAAAAGTCTCCTTCCCGATAGAATGAACCGGAAGGATGGGAAGAGCAGTGTCCATTTTCCCACATCCGGGATTTCCCTTTCTCTTCTCGGGATTTTTCCTTTTTTTTTTTTCTTCATCCCTCTTATTATATCTGTAAGGCATACAGCGTAAGGGAGAGTCAGGCCGCATGCTTCCCGTCATTCCTGCATTATTTATCCTCATATTGGGGTGCTGGCACGATCTCGTGTGTCCTCTGGATGCCACTGATATTTCCCCCATTCTCTGGAATCCTCGCGTGATCATCTCCCATTTTCCTCCGTCCCCTTTTTTTTTGTTACTTTGACGGTCGATGGGGGGCAAGGGAGAAGAGAATCAGGCGACCCCCGTGTGACACAGTACCCCCATCCTGGCGATCGCGTGATCATTATTTCCCCTCCTTCCCCTTCTGTTTCGGTGATGATCTATGCTCATTGCCTCTCCTCTCGCCCGTATTCCATCATCTCTGCTGTCTGAAGGCAGAGAGAGAAACTCTAGTTACACCTTTTGCTTTTGGATGCGTCCTCTTTGATCCGCATGCACCTCCTGAGCACCACACTCAATGTGTGGAAAATACAGGGTGGGCCAAAAAAAATTCAGTTATCTTCAACGCTTCATAGCGTAGTTTCTCAAGAGTTTAAAAATATTACAATAGCGTCTCTATATACAGGGCGTTTCAAAAGTAACCGTGCAGTAGAGACATAACCAGTCCTCTACAGAAAGATAGGCCATTCATGAAAACGCCCTCATTGCTAGTGATTAAATACAATAAAACCTCCTACAAAAAAGATGAAGAGGTAACAGAAGACCATATTCAACAAATAATTGATGAACAATTCAGCAACAAATTCATAGCAATTGCCGAAGATGCGAAATAGCTATTTCGTTTCAGTGCACAGTTACTTTTGAAACACCCCGCAGAACATTTATCTAGCTTTCCGCTGCTGTCAAAAGAATTAAGATCCATTCCGTCATTCCTATGTAGTTATGCACAGAGAAACAGGTAGCGCTTGAAAAGTTCATTTAACAGTATAGTGCAAAACGTGCTGCTCCTTGTGACGTCCACTCCTTGCGCATTCTCAATCTTGCCAAGGCGTTGTTCCATTTCCAGCGCCATCTCTTTTGCTCTTTATCTATTTGTATGGAAGGAATTCCTCTCTTTTTTTCTGTTGACTTGATTGGGAAGCTGAATGAATTTCTATACGGAGGCGCGTGCAATTTTAGCAAAATCTTGGAGAGCAGTGCTGTGGAGTGATAAGGATAACCGAAGTTTTTTTGGCCCACCGTGTTGAAACTGAAAAAAAGGAAATAGAAAAATGGAAGAGGGTTGGCTTGCATAACAAAGCTGATAAAAATATTCTTTTCTTTAGATTGGGGTCCGCTGATGGTGACGGTGATGCTTGTGACGGGGGCGATGTTGTGCAAAGAGCAAGGGATCACAATCGTCGGAGTCTGTGCCGTCTACGAGATTTTCGTCGTCCAAAAGGTAACTCAGCGATCTCTTGAAGATCACCCATGGGTAAATGTAGAAATGCGGGTGAATGTAGAAATGCGAGTAAATGTAGAAATGCGAGTAAATGTAGAAATGCGAGTAAATGTAGAAATGCGAGTCCTTTGATGCCCCCCTCATCATGCTGTCTCTGCCTCGTTTCCCCTCATGAATCCCGGATTTCTCCATCTCGCTAATGAGGCCTCGTTTACATGGCAGGCCTGTAATGGAGGCAATGATCCGTGCGTGTATCCTGCGAATCAGTCTTGTGACCGATTCCTCTCCCTACGTAGATGCATTTGCGGGATGTGGTGGAGTTGGGCCCACGATTCCTGGAGGGGAAAGGGGAGAAGGGGGGACTTTACGCTCCGTTTCTTCGGATCTCCACCCTCATCGCCACGTCAGTGTGCCTTCTGCTCGCCCGGGTCCTCGTCATGGGGGCTCAACTCCCCGTCTTCACCAGGTCTGTTTCTTTCTTCTTTTATCTTCTTTTCAGTCCCAGGAACTAGAGGCGTTACTGCACTATCGATCATATCCTGAAGTCTAGATATCCGTTCTTATCGGATTTTTCCTTCCGGAAACACTTGAGAGCACATCTGAGAATGCATAAGAGCGCCTTTCTTGGCTCCTTGAGACGTATATATGGAAGGTTCCAAAAAACCTTGCATAGAGCATGGGCACATTCTCTGATATGCTTTTAGGTGTTGCAAGTGGAAATACAGCGTTCACACTACCGTTTTAAATCTTGAGTCCTGGCGTCTAGCTTCAGCTCACTGGGAACATGTTCAGGTGGTTGTCAGTGAGTCCCACGGACTTAAATGTTTTGCAAATATGAGTCCCACCAAGAAAATAGTCAGGGACTCGTTAACAAGAACCCTGAAAAAAAAAAAAAAAATATATATATATATAATTTTTTTTATACATTCTATCTGTGTATTTTTAGTGAAATCTGATCGCATTAGGTGTTTCAGGTGAAGAACGCTTACTTTTGCTTTAAATTTATCTACTTTGTATTTTTTTTTAACATATGATGGAGATGCACTAATGACAGTCTCTCTGACAGACCTAATTTCGGGATAGGTCTGAGATTTCTTGGAACCCTGACAATACCAGAGGCATATGGTGGGGAATGAAGGAGAAGGAAGCATTATTGTCCGGATGAGCGCCTTGCCTTTGCTCCCTGATTTATCTGATAAGTAAATCCTTAATATATAAAATTCTCAAAATTGCGTCGATTTGGGCTCTGAAGCATTTGAAAACCATGATGGAATAATGTTAGGAGTCGAGCATTGATGCAAACAAAAATGAGAGATTGTCTGAGGCCCTCGCTTCCTCTTTTCTTCCTAAAAGTAGAAAATGAGGCTTGGAATGCAATCCCCCGGATTTCTGCACCCATCATATCCTTCATGAGCGTCGCTCGTGACGTACCGACTCTGGTCCAAACGAGGCTTCCTATTGGACCTCGCTTTCTCCAAAAAAAAGGAAAGCCGAGAGACTGAAAGGGAAAGAGAGGGAAGAAGAGTGTTCCTTCTCCTTCCCATCATTACGTCGTCGTCTGGGTCTCCAAGACAGATGAGAGGCGGAGCAATGTCCTCATCTTTTTCATTCTCTCCCTCTTTTTCCCATTTGTCTCTCGCCGATGAACAGGCCTCGCGACCCTTGCATCAATGGAAGAGCCGCTTTTACGAGTTTCCCTCCTCTGAACGTATGGATTGGATGGAAATCGGCCGTGAAAACATTTTCGGGCGTATTACCCATCGAGAATCTCATTCTTTCTGGCCTGGGAACCCTGGGGGAAATTGGATTTTCAACGACCGGGAAAGAAAATGACCGGATCGCATGAAAAGGAAAGGGGAAAATTCCCCCTCTTTTGTGGCCTGATATACCGTATGCGTTGGTCTCGGGTCACTCCGGTATGCAGGGAAAGAGGAAAGAAGAGAGGCGGAAACGATAAGGAACATTTACGATACTCCGGGCTTTTCCCCCGTAATGAGATGCTCTCACGAAGTCGCGTGATGTCTCGCGACCCGAGGTCCTTGGGACTCGGTCCTTTCCTCTTTCCCGCCCATCCCTTTCCTATGCACTATATTTGCCCTCACAGGCCGCATTTAATGGCACCCTCCCATTTAGATCCCTGACCTGCCCAAGTCGTTTCCTTTGCTTGCCTTCCGTGATAGATGGATAGATAGGTGGAGGGGGGGAGGGGGCATGATAGCACATTTTGGGTGTTTTAAGCAGGAAAAATTGTTTCTCCGTAGCCGACGTTCGTGAGGAAGATAATTATGCTCATGGGATCATTTTGCGTGGGAGTAGATAGTCTTGGGAGGATATAGGCGTAAGAAAGTCGGGATGTAAGCCTATCCCGGAAGAGGATCAAGAAGACGGATTAAGAAGGCATGCTTTGTTCACGGAATGTTCTCGTGAGAATCAGATGCTCGTAACAAAATTGAAGAAAAACATGGAAACCTTGCCAAACGTGGATCATTCTGAGATGGGGGAAGCGCAAGGAACAGTATCTTCGGTGCCGAGGTGTGGATAGCACGTAGATGTAGGCTCTCTGGATTTGGTATCATGTCTTGCAGTTGCCAGAAGCCTTTCTTCAGAGTCCAAGCAAGACGAAAAATAAAAATAAAAACAAACGGACCGCACTTATTATTGGTAGCCTAGCAAGCAGGATCTCCCGCGATACCCTGGGGGCTGGCGTATGAGCCTGCATCCCAGGGGCAGGGAAAGGAAAGAAGGGAAGAGGGCGATTAAGGGGAAAGGGGAGGGAGAGGGAAGTGATTATGGGGCCGATCCGTCTTGATGAGGGAGAACACGGAGAGAAGACCCTCCGGGATTATTTAGATCGCCGCCACGGATTCCCCATCGATCCACGTCCAGTCCCTTATCTCTCTTTCCCCCCTCCTTTTTTTTTTTCAACCCTTTCATCCCCTTTCCAGTTCGAGACCCCAATACCCATCGAGATGGGAGGGTGCTATTCGTTCTGGATAGGCCTGGGTATGCAACGTGTTCTTCAGGACCTTCCCCCAGAGATTGATGAGGATTGAATCTGTGTCATGCAAGGAAGGAGACAGTGATGAAGATGAAGTTGTTTTTGTTCTTCTTCAATTGCCTTCTTCCCTTTCCTTCCTCTTGCCACATGAAAATGGACATGCTAAGCAATGGGAGCTTTGCATGCTCGCGAGAGGGAACACGAGGACACATCCATCACGACCCCGAAATAAGAGACGGAGAGAGAGCATTTCGGATTCCTTTCTGTACCTTTTTTTTTGTCGTCCCCGTTTCTGTATCTGATGGATTATTCAAAGCGTTCCTCTCGTGTCTCCCTTACCTTGGTCGCCTGTCGTCTCCCATCCGTTGAATTCTTTTTCCTTTCGCAATTTTTTTTTACCTGCGTACAGGCTCTTTGTGCATGACGTCTGGATATTTCAGAGTTCCCATTGGCCTGGAAACTTGGAGAAGGCAGGAGAAAGGGAGCGGGATCCAAAAGTCAGGGAAATCGCCCCAATTTCCTGTAATTCAGGAGGAAATCAGGGAGAAGGAAAAAAAGGCATCATCAGTCGTTCCCTTATGAAGTAGATGATGGTACGGAGAATTTCCTGGAAGTGCACGAAAATGAAGGTTTCGCTCAGGGTAGTTATCCCTTCCCTGAAGCGTCTGGAAAATACAGGGGAATCGGTTCTCAAATTTTCATGAAGTAGTCAGAATGATGCGGTCAGCATTGGAGACATCCATTGCGGCCACGACGGGTAGGAATTCACTTGACGTGGATTCGTGTGGAGGTCCCTATGGAAGAGGCGTAATGGACAGGACGAATGGAACGGTTTCCCTGGGAAACAGGCTGCTTCCCGAGGGAAACTGGTTGGTTGGCGACCGTCCGAACCATTGACGCCAGAATCAATTACATGGCTCGTCTCCATCCGACCTTATATTCTGTGAAAGGGAAGAATGGGGGATTGGGGCAGTCCTCGCCTGCAATTGCGAGAGCCAAGGGAGGCAAAAAAAAGGAAATGAAATAAAACATGGGGAAGAGACTAAGTATTGGATTTAATCCCAGTGCATGACCGAAGGCGCCCGTCGAAGGCGACCAAATGAACTCATTTTACCCCCCCTAGTGCCCTAATCCACACGTGGACCACGAACACCTCCCTTCTCCCTTTGTATTATAAACTATATATACGTATATTAGATATACGGCCGGCCTATATATATATGGGACTATACGGAGGGATCCCGTCTCATTCTGCGCCATGGTTCCCTCGAAGGGGGGTCATTGTTATTCTCCTCCCCTAGTCCGATTTATATGCAACAAGTCATTTGCTGACTGCCATATGCCCTCCTGCATATCTCATCTCTCTTTCTCTTTCGCGTTGTGATCGATACTGATCTCTGGATGTGTGATCGGCCTAGAATATGCATGATGGCGTCGCCCGGGAAGTCTTTGTTGCGTGTCCTATAATACGCTTCCTCCTAGCACCACCATAGTAATTCTACAAGATGGAGTCGACGGGGGGGGGGGGGGGCTTTATCGTGGAGCGGCTTCGTGAGAGACTGATTCATCGTTGGGTTATCGATCTGTCTGCATTTTCACCTTTTTTTTGACAGGTGATTGATGATCCCGTGAGCTTGTCTCGACGGAGGCGCGACCTCGTCATTGTTTCATGAGGAAATCGCGCATCATAACTGATTTTATTTTGCCTTTTTCTACCCCCTATTTCCTCTAATCGATCCCGCTCACGAGGGAGAGTAAGGGGAAGCCGGCTGAAAAGGGTGTATATCTGCGCGATGGTGGAATGAAGATCAACGAGGACAGACGGGATTTGCTGATCTCCCTTATTCCCATCTCCGGCAACAAAGTATTGCAGTATATCAAAGGCGGGCCGAAGCGATCCATCCATCTGCTGGGGACTTACGGCCTGGGGTTTCTCCTTCCTCTCTCTTTCTCTCTCTCTCCCCCTTTTTCCCTTTCTCCCTTTTGCAATAATAATTATTCTTCATCTCTTTTCCGGCTTCTGTAATGAATACAGATCGCGAATTGTCGTCGCAGGCTTTGCTCACAAATAACTGTGCGGACGGAGGACTGATGGTCCGTCGCTAACCGCCTCCAAAGGGTGTATAACCTTTGATAAATGGGGGAAGGGGAAAAGAGCTGCTGCAAAATAAAATAAAAAAAGAGGCAAAGAGGTCTGAGCCTAATGGGTTTCATGTCTTGATGGAAGGGCCGATTCGCCCGCTTCTCTGGAACGCCGCGGATTCTCGTGTCGAGATAATGCTCCGAAATGAAGTTATGGATTTCTTCTTACTGTCGAGAGACGAGAGATAATACGTCTTAGATAGATGAGATGACGACAGGCCGGAAATCGGGCCTCTTTCCCCCGCATGTCACGACGATAGTCCCGCCATAGATTTTGCGTGATCCTCTGATCTTTTGTCGTATTTTTTCCTCGCGTGCACATCCCGGACGGAATCGGCTGTTAATAAAATGTTTGTTCTATTTTCTCTCTTTTTCCTGGAACAGATTCGATAACCCTGCAGCCGGGAGCGAGACGCCGGTGCGTCAGCTGACGTATAACTACCTGTTGAGCGTGAACGCAAAGCTGCTATTGGCGCCGGCAGACCTGTGCTGTGATTGGACGATGGGGACCGTCCCCTTGGTCGAGTCCCTCGCGGACCCCAGGAACCTGGAGACGTTGACCTTCTATCTCACCCTGGGGGCCTTGGTCAGAGTCGCCTTAACCTCTCCCTCCACTGCCCACCGAGAGGTGGTATGCATGGTGAGCTTAACCTCCACCGTTCACGTATGACTATGGGGCGGGGATGGGGGCGGCTGTCTTAATCTCTGATGCACCGCATTTCCATATAGGTGAGACAGGTGGTCTAACATGAGATGGTGAATTGATGAGTCTTGTTCTGTGATATCTTTGGCCCTCCCACGCTTGATATTGAGTAATTGCTCTCAATTGACTACGTCAGAGGTTGCCGCAGCGCGAAATATACGGTCACACTTCGCGCTCTGGCGTCCTCAATTTCATGATCTATCTGCATAATATTCACTCGGATCAGCTTTTGTTTGCTGCTTTGTCGCTGGTCATGGGGGGGGGGGGGGCATCAGGACTTCAGGATTGACATTATCATTTGAGGAGAAAGCTCTCCATCTGGTTATAAATTCTGTCAGAGTTTCTCTGAAAAACGTCTAAATAAGTTACGTAGAAAGTACAGATCTTGTTCTTTCTCTGAAAAGCACTCCCAAGTTCTACCACTCTCCTCAGGCAGCCCTGGTGGTGGCTTTTAATGAGGCAGGTTCATTTGGAAGAGAAACTTTGAGGATTTCTTTAATGAGGAGGGGCAGGTCATTGAATACGCTGGAATTAAATTTCGGTTGAACTTCTCGATCTGAATCCTCCTCATATCCTCTGATTCACCAACGATTTCATATATCTCCACTGCGGCTTTCCTCGCTGCTTCTGCATTTCAAGTGCAGCACAACCCAGTGTATATTTCGCATCTCACCACAGGACCATTTTTCATCATTAAACCGTCGTTTCACGCTGCTCGGTAGAGAGTGCTGTTTTATAATCTCTTGCAAATGATGGATTCCCTGTCGTATTTTTTGTTCGGCTAGAATAAAGCTACGCTGAAGAATAGAGATTTGTTTGAATAGGCACGCTTGATTAGCTTTTGACCCTCACCCCCCCCCCCCCCCCCCCCCCCCCCCCCCGCGCCCCNATTCCCCTGGTTTTTTTTTTCCCCCCCCCCCCCCCCCCCCCCCCCTTCGACTCCGTCAGGGCCGTTTATTCAGTTCGAAGAGTCGAGAAAAGAAGGAAAACATGAGAGAAGGAAGGGGGAAAGGAGATGGTTGTGTTTGCTCAGTCATCCCTCCCCATTAAGATATCAGGGCTCAGGGAAGTGGAAAGTGGCAAATGCTTTCAAAACATTGTCTCTCTCTCTCTCTCTCTCTTTCTCTCTCGTTCTCTCTTTCTTTCCTGTTCCTTTCCCTGTTCGACTCTCCGGGGGAGGGGACGGGAGTGCGGGAGGAGCACAGAGAGGCTGGGAAAGACAAGGGAGTGAAGTGTCAGGGAGTGAATGCTAGACATTGTAATTTGGTAGTGTGCCAAATGCCTATGTTTCTGATGATCCTGCTCGGACCATACAGGATTCGAGAATAAAGTTCTATACTGAGTATGGATCTGCATAGGAAGGAAAACAATGAATTTTTCATATTTGGTTCTTTCCTGTGCAGATTTTTATAGAACTTTTTTTTTAATTTTAAATAAGATGTATTATAGTTTTCAATATTTTATTTTGCTTTCTTCCTCCACAGGCATTGGCTCTCATGGCCTTCCCCTTCCTCCCAGCATCAAATCTATTCTTCCCTGTCGGCTTCGTCGTGGCCGAGAGGGTACTTTACATGCCCTCCATGGGCTTCTGTCTGCTCGTTGCTTTCGGATGGCAGCTCCTCTCTACCAGAAGGTCACTACCTTTCTCTTGTCTTCTTTTAATCGTATGCGGCAGCAGGATTCTCACAGGGAGGTGGGATTGTTGAAAATTCAGGGGATGGAGGAAGGGGATGTGGTTGGGACTCGGGTTTCTGCTCGTAGTCCATGCCGGGAAGACGTGGGTTCGGTCGATGGATTGGGAGACGGAGTCCTCCATCTTCCTCTCCGGACTCAAAGTCAATCACAGGAATGCCAAGCTCTACAACAATGTCGGGCATGCCTTCGAAACCCAGGGTCACTTCCAGGACGCCCTCAAATTCTTCCAACAGGCTGTCAGGTGAGATGCCTTCCTTTTCCGACCTTGTCGCTGAAGCTCTGAAAATTGAAAATGCAGAATGCGGAACCGTTTCTGGATTGGAGATTGAGAAGGGGGTGGAGGTTAGGGGAGTGTTTCCTCTTTCCCTCGCATTCCCCTTTTATACCCGGTTTTGGCTCTTGTACAAGATTTGGGGCATAGAAAAGACCTGTTGAGTTGGGTTTGCATAATCAGAATATTTGTCTGACTTTGATCGCCGCTCTTAGAGGATGCTTATCATCTCGTAACTCGATAACTTTTTATCCCTGAAGATGATCAGAAAACGAAGCCCCTTGGGAGTTTTGTGATCCCAGCTTAGGGGTCGATTAGATGTTTTTTATTTTGCATGGTCGATTTACATGCATTTTCTGTACTCGATATGCTGGGCTAAAGAAATAAAATGAGAGACAGAATGGCTTGATAGCGGGAGGAGAAGTCATCCCATTTTCGTCCTTCTGCCTCCATTGTGTTATTAGCTCCTCATTGAGAACCTGGGGCTGAATCCTCTCTACTTGGCTTGTGGGCTTCCCAGCAAACAAGATTTCCTTCCCCTGCCTTAATTACCCTTATCCCTCTCTCCGTCTCCCTCTTATCCTGCATTGTGCCCTCGCGTCCATTCTCTTCCCGTCCCTTCACATTTGCAGCCATTTCCGATGTCACATTAATTGGGAGAACCGTCTGTGTGGGCATCGGTCCCATGTGCTTTTGTGCGGTACTGCCCCTGTTACGTGACAGAATTGTGATCCCTCATTTTCTATTCTTTCTCTCTTTCAACTCTGAGTTATACACATTGGGGAAGGAGGGGAAGCTTGTTAGCAAGGTACTCCTCTATCATAAATTCATGAATCTTTCTTTAGTTAATGGTCTCGGCCCCCAAATATAAACAGTTGGAGGGGGGAGGGATTGGAAAAGGTGTTCAAACTGTTCCGGTCGAGAGGTGTTTCCTGCTGATCAAAGTATTGGGGATGATTTATGAACTTTTCATGGGGGAGGCTTTCCTGGTTTGCTTCCTCCCTTCTATCCGAGCCCAGGACCCACGGTCCTCTGGCAGACCGGAACGTGTTCCGAGCTGAATAATTTTTGTCCCCATAATGAGCAAATATTCCTTTATCGCTCCAAGCGGGGTTGGAAAACGAGAGAGAGAGGGCTAGAGTTCATTCGATTTTCTTCTCGCAAGAGGCGGATCAGGATGTAAATGGGGAGTGACGGGTGGCCTGTCTCACTCCGATGCAAGTCTCTTTCCATTCCATTCACCATGTCCTCTCATCAAGTAAATGATGAAAAAAGCTCTTAGGATTTCCAGGAAGGTTCCTCTTTTCCTTTGCACACAACCTGTTAGGCTGAGTGTCTTGTTTTTCATCTGGGTTCTCAAAGAGAAATTCAGACGGATTCAAATATTTTATTGAGTAAGTTTGGGCGGATATTCCATCGGTTTAAGACTCAAACCTTCTTGGATTGAAAGAGAGACGCGGATAATCATCTGCGGAAGGGTATGGTAGGGAAGGGAAGGAGCTGGGGCTGTAATTATGACTCACTGATGACATAATAATAGGCTCTCCTGTCTTCTCGTCTACACGCAACGCCATCATCCCTTCGCCAAGAGCACACTCTTTCTCTATAGACGTCTAATGAGCCGTATGTGTATGGAGGGGGATGGGAAAGGGGTTCGCTATTCCCGACCGGGAGTGGTCAGCTGGGAAATCATGGGGAAGGGATAGGTGAATGGAGTTTGGCAGCCCGGACATGTGCTCCTAATCATCCTCCATTAAGGGGGAAGTGGGAGAGTGGGAAGAGAGGGATAGCCTTATATGGCCAGGGAGCGTGAATTATTAAATATACGGGGAGGCCCCTGTCCGGATCGAGTTTCATCATGTCTTCGACCATTCGAATCCATGATGATGAAGGTCCTAGGCGCCCGATCCTCTTCGGTCGATATGCAGTTCTTATAACCTACTCTAATGATCCTCATTGTTCTAATTTTTTTTAATTTCGGCATTTTTTGAATTGTGGAGAGGGATAGGCCCCAAATCCCATCCTTGTCGCGATTGTCAGTAAGCGGTTGCAAATCCTTAAAGCCATTTATCATGGAAGCTGGGGAGAGGGGAAGAAGGAAAGACGTAAAGGAGATTAATTCCATTTTTGAATGGTCGCATTTCTCGCTCCTCCGAGCACGATGAAACCTCTCACAGACACAAGACACCTTGTAATTACGGGCTCAGATCTCTTCTTTCCCCCGTCTTGTGGAGCGTCATTCTCCAGATTGCATCCTCTGATGGATGAAATAAAATCTTTCTTTCCTTTCGCGATTTCTTCCTCGTCAGTTGTTCACAAAGAGGGCAGCTGTCCAGTTTTTTTTTTTTCAAAGAAAGCTGGAAGGGGCCTGTCAGCGACGGATAAGAGGGATCTCCCGAGTGTAACAAAGCGATAAGATATGAGGTGGAAAATTTCTCAGTGAAAACTTTCATGGCACAATTTCCGTCTCATTCACTCCGCTCTGTTTACTTTTTTTTTCAGAGTCCAACCAGATGACATCGGGGCGCACATCAACGTAGGTAGGACCTACAACAACCTGAAGATGTTTGACGAATCTGAGGCTGCCTACCTCAGGGTGAGTTTCCTAATTTAATTACTTGCTTTTATGATTGCCAGAGCTTGATGACCGTAACAGTCAAGAGTTCAAGAGTAAGTATGAACGTGATGATTGACGAAGTATAAAGTAGATTTGGTTTTCAAGAAGCCACTGTTCCCTAAGCTGTTAATGAGGGTCTCATGTCACCATGTGCATGCAAGAATCGCCAACGGGCAGACGCACGATCTCCGCATGAATGACGCAACACTTTTCATCAGGGTAATGAAGCTTGAACGATCGCAAATGAAATTGTGGAAACCATCTGGAGCGGTCTCGGGTCCCAGATTCCGTTCCCCCCGAAAGGATCCATACTGCATGTATTTAAAGGATCAGAAAAAGGGGGTAATCGGAACCATGGAGCAAGGGAATGCGAGGGAGACAGGGGATCGCGTGCGACATAATGGTCTTCATATTGATTCTCCGCATGCATGACTTCCACGATACGAATGCAGGCTCCGTCTTTTGACAAAGGGAGAATAGGGAAAACCCTCTTGCCTCTTCCTCTGTATATCATATGATACCTGGGGGGTTCCCCCGAATCAATTTCCTCCAACCAAGCAACACAGTCATGTATAATGCAAGGCATTTATTTCCGCTGTTGTTAATAGCGTGAAATTATTCATGGACCCCCTGCCTGGGTTGCGTTTTGATGCCACTCTTTCTTTCTCTGATGATATCGATCACGCTTTCTCTCCCCTTTTATGTTTTGTCCTTCCCCTTTTCTGTGTCCACACGCTTCACTGGAAGGATGAGAAAGGAAAGGATTTTGTCTTCCTTTCAAAACAGCAGCAGATAGTTGTTGGTTTCCGTAGGTCTCACCAGATGCCACTACAGGATGATACAAGATGAACCCCAGTTGATATGCTCTCGTTTCGCGTCTCAAAGTTTTCCTTCGATATAATCCCACGATCCCTGGTTTTTGGGACACCCTGCATTGCTGTAGGCGGGAACGCTCTATGCTTGGAAGCCCTGTGTGAATTCGAAAGAGGAACAATATTATTGTTCAAAACTTCATCATGGGAGATTTTTCCGTCAACCAACGACTTCTGCTATCTTCTTCCGTAAAATGTTCGCTGCTGAATCACCTACGATAAATGAATACCATAATAGTAGTTCAATGCAGAATTGACTCTGATGTATGAAATTGAACTTAGTACAGTAATCGCCGTTTATTGTGATCACGTTGGTGCAAGGACATTTGATAACATTAAGCGGCTGATAGCAATAGGCGGCGGCAATCAATGCCGCCGCCTCTTGATTATGGTTTTCGAGATTCGATTACGTTATCTGGCTGATAGCAATACCAGTGATCACAATAAGCAGCGCCTACTGTATTATTAGCTGAGCTGCTTTCTTGCCAGAACAATTTTGACTGAAGACTCTCTGCTGAAGGAAATACTTAATATTTGCTGTAGTATTGCAGAGTTTCCCAATGATGTATGCATCGTGAAGGTGGAATTTCACTGCACGCTCCAAGTTGTTCTTTGCCAAAGGGGGATATACTATAGAATGCAGTTTACGTAACTTTTAGAGTGACGAATTTCGAATCTGGAAGGTGAATCGCTAATTCACATTTTATGGAGCTGCTGTCATCTGGGAACCATTTGCTATTCCATGAATTGAAAAAAAATCCCTCCGGTCTGCCCCCGTTCGCACGGTGGAGACATCTGTCGAATCCCTCCCCCAACTATCCATTCTTTGTCTGAGATGCAGCCTAATCCTTTTAGGCGATGGCATCCCTTTCTGCCCTTTCACATCTGACCTGAAGAGCACTGTGAAACATTTATTTCCTCATCTGGAGACATCTGGCTGGCACCATCGTAATTATGATCATCATGTTTTAGTGAGATTGTCATAGCGGGGAATGGGGGTTGTTCGAATAAAGGAGGCTCAGAAAGTAATGTCTTGAGTGCATGCATGTGTGTGTGTGCCAAAAAGAGAAAGAGAAAGATGGGATGCAGGCTTCATTAATTTTAATCTTCCCCAGACACTGAAATGGGGAGAAGAGATAATAATAATTCTCTTTTCTTCTCTCTCAAAAAGCCCCCATGATACGATATTACGTTCCCTTTCTCTCGTTGCCTTTGAATGCGAGGATAATCCGACTCTGAAACTCGGCGACTTGCTTCTCTCCGTCAGCATTGTAAAGTGGAATGCCTCTGTGGATAAGGGAATGAAGGCACGTGGCACTTCAAAGTATTCTTCGGTGTTATCTCCTGAAAACATGTGGAGCGGTGTGGAAGAAAACATTCGTGAATTCCATATTCGATCCCCTGAGAGAGGATAAATTTAAATTGCATCCGACGTCCGAGGCATTCCCAATCATGGTGGATCGGGAACACTTCACACAGGATTCAGTCCGGAGCGACACCTCACGTGGGAAGAGATCCCTGGAATCCGATTTCTCGTGGTGATTAATCCCATCCTCTTGAGATGCGGCTTCCTCTCCCTTCCCCCCTTTATCAAAGGTTATACACCCTTTGGAGGCGGTTAGCGACGGACCATCAGTCCTCCGTCCGCACAGTTATTTGTGAGCAAAGCCTGCGACGACAATTCGCGATCTGTATCCCCCCCCCCCCCCCCCCCCCCCCCCCCCCCTCCTCCTCCCTCCCAGGAATCCCCCTTTACTTGCTTCATAAAGAGAGAGAGATCCGTGTGCTTGATTGCATGCAGAAAGATTCCCTTTCCTTTCATATCCAATTCCCAATCCTCCCAGAGTTCTCTTGACGACGATTATTGCCCCAATTCCAATTTCATTTCCGCTTGCATCCTCGCTCATGCTTTCTCTCTCTCTCTCTCTCTCTCCATCTCTCATCTCATCTCATCTCATCTCATCTTTCTTCATTTGTCGGTCTCTCTCTCTCTCTCTCTCTTCGAAATTCGAAGCTCGAAATCGATGCATTCCTATCTGCAACGATTTTTCTTTTTCCTTTTTCTCATTCCTTCTATCATTCTTCGCATATTTATGAGGCGGAACAAAAGTAGAAGCGTCTCCTTTCTTCTGGTTGGTAGGAGTGGGAAGTTAAGCTGTACCATCTAACCTCGCTGGAAGGGTAATCTGCAATCATTGAACATGAAATTGCAGCCTGATGGCGTGCATATGTCCTCGTTCCCACGCTATTCGCCCTCGATTATTCAAAAACCCTCGTTACGGTCTCGTCGCACTCAAATGATCTTTTCACGCACTTTAAGACCTGTTCACATCGTTGTGTACCTGCACCGGATATGTCAGCACCTTGGCGCAAAAAGAAATCATGCGACTGAATATTAGTAATTGGGATCTCTTAAATCATTCCAGGTGTTTTTCTGCCCGTGTCTATCAGGCTTGTCAACGTTCGCGCAGTCGAAATAAGGCAATTGGCTTGTTACCGAAAATTGCAAATGTGATAGCCTTGACGTCTATTGAGATAACATTCCGTTTAGTGACGAATTCGTTCGAGATCTAATCTTGGTTCGAAGAACCAAGATTAGATATCGATTTTAATTGAAGAACAAGGTAGTTGAAAGTAGAGCTGAAATCATCGCTCAATCGTTTGAAAAGTCCCTGGCCGGGCGTAACTCCTTGATGGACCAGGCAGTAGCGAGCTATAGTGCTCGAATAGCAAGACAAGAGGGAACTTAGAAGCACATTTAAGGTATGGATAGAGGCTCCCATTGCAGGGGAGGGAAGGTTCGGTTCAAGCAAGGGTCAACCTCCCAGGAGAACCGGGTCATGTGGCCATAAATCTTTCGCAGGCTTTCCCTCTCAGAAGTTGGAATGGAATGATCGAAAGTTGGGTCAAGTAGAAATCTAGAGGTTCTGGAGCGACCCAAAAAGGAGATGAGACTGCGACATTGCGGAGGAGTACATAGGGCGCTATCGGAAAGTCATTATCTGATGTACCCACTTTTGGTTCAAATTTATTTCGTTTTCGAGGAGTCACTTCACAGCTGCCACGCTCATCTTACACCCAATCTGTACCATTGCCGCCTGCAGGACGGAAATGATCCTAGTATTTCCCTCCGATGCAGTCTCATTGCCTTCGGAGGAGATATGTAAAGACAACTTTAAATATCCCGTACTTTTATTTTATCCTTTGCATCACTCTAATGGGCTGTTCTCCCTCTAACCGGCCATTTCGTCGGAAATTGAGAATAGAACTTCTCTAGCCCCCTTGTAGCAAGATTCTGCCTTTCCGAACGAACTTTATATGCAAGCGTTCCGCGGCTATTTGACTTTGTAAATTGGATTGGTAAATTGATCTAAACGATAGCCAATTAGATCGTTCTTTAATGCTGACGTCACTCCAGCCCCTGTGATTGGTTCCGCAGGAGGTTGACGTGAGATACAATGATGACCAATCATATGGCTCGCCTGCGCTGTCGTCACTCCAACCTCCTGGAGCATTCGAAGAGTGACGTTCTCTTGTCTGGTTGTACTTGCAGGCGAAGAGTCTGCTGCCGAAGGCCCGGCCAGGCGAGAGCTATCAGGCAAGGATTGCCCCCAACCACCTCTCCGTGTTCCTCAACTTGGCGAATCTGATCGCGAGGAACAGTTCTCGACTAGCAGAGGCGGATCGACTGTATCGCCAGGCCATCGCTATGAGGGCTGACTACACCCAGGCGTATATCAACCGAGGGGACATCCTCATCAAAATGAATCGGTACTATTCCCCTTTCCTTTCCCCAGCCTCTTTTTCTCTTATGGATTCAGCACACTTATACAGAAAATATGGAGCAATACATCCCCAGGCGAGTGTGTCGGTTTCCTTGGGTATTCATAACGGGAGCAGTATCGAAGGTCTGGAGAAGTTATGAGAGGCGTAATGGAGTTCTCTCTCTCTCTTTTCCCCTCCAGATATGAGATATCTGTGAGAGCAAACATGTCTTTATTGACTGCTTGGGGAACTCATCCTCATCCTCATCCTTCCCTTTCCATATATCCTTTTCCTTCCCTAAATGTGTATTTCCTGCTTGGGATTCCCTAGAAATCATGACTTCCTTCTTGCCCTCAGGACCCGAGAAGCCCAAGAAGTCTACGAGAGAGCCCTCTTCTACGACAGCAAGAACCCTGACATTTACTATAATGTGAGTCGTTTCAAGGTTCTTCGAGTAAGGATAGAGTATTGTATCTGGAAAATTCTGCGCTATCGAAAGTTTCGAATCCATTACCTTTGTATCGATCAGCCTACTTCTTTTTCTTTCTTTCTTTTTTTAAATCTCGCCCTAGCTTTCTTTCCTGCAGGATTTTTCCCTGAGTAAAGGTTTGATCGAGACCGATGATTGGGAATAGAGGTCCGCTTAATGATTTTGACTGGAAGTTTTCTTCTTTTTGGGTGGCACGGAAGTGTCCTCTCTTCGGACGAGATGGCCCCGTGAGAGCCGAACTGTTCAGAAAAAAAGTGAAAATATTGATCTTCCCTGTTGGAGCAGTTGGGCGTGGTGTTCCTGGAGCAAGGGAAAGCCCTGCAGGCCCTGGCCTACCTGGACAAGGCGCTGGAGTTCGAGCCGGAACACGGGCAGGCTCTGCTCAACTCCGCCGTCCTCATCCAGGAATACGGACTCACGGATCTGCGACCGCTGGCCATCCAGCGGCTCAACACTCTTCTCTACCGGGAACCCCATAACGAAAGGGTCCACTTCAACCTGGGGATGTTCGCCATGGACGAACGGGACTTCGCAGCGGCAGAGGCGCACTTTAAGCTGGCCGTGGGGCAGAAGGAAGACTTTCGGAGTGCTCTGTTCAACTTAGCACTCCTGTTGGCGGAAGCAAAACGACCTCTCGAGGCCGTGCCCTTCCTCAACCAGCTCCTTAAGTTCCACCCAGATCATGTCAAGGGTCTCATCCTCCTCGGTGACATATACATCAACAACATGAAGGACCTGGATGCCGCCGAAAAGGTACGTCCTCCTATCTGTGCGCAATCCTGACACTTCGTTTGAACGATTCTGCTCTGGTTGCTTGCTGGTATTTTCGACTCTATGCTTCGAGTCAACTCCTTGATATATCAGGCCATGGACGTCTAGTGTCGATGACTGCATGTATGACAGCATGCAGACAGGTCTAAATCTCACGGTTCTTTCACTCTGGCAGCCTCATTTGGGGAAACCAGCGATATAGGATTTCGCAGGGGAAAGATTATTCGTGTGAGGGAAGGAGAAAAAGAAAGCGCGGAAGTCAATTCCTTCAGGCTAAGAGGATTCTTGGAATCGGATCGAAACTCTCTCAGTCTCATATGGTGAGGCTTACATGAATACTGTGACACCCCTGAAGTGGGGGGCAGAATCAATCAGGGCTTGGGTTACCTCTTACTTAGAAACTGGTACTATACATAGTGTGGGTCGTAAAAAAAGCCCTATCATTACTCTGTGGGGAGGCGTTCGGGTCATATAAACCCGTCCTGAACACCTATAAAGGTTTCCTTATTGCCTTCAGCGTGACTTCAATGTGGCATCGTTATTGCTAGCTTCCAAGCATTTCCTTCTCGCAGTGATTCGCCACGATTCCTCCATCGAAGGACAATCAAGCCTTTTTGGGTATTTCCGTCTTTCTCTTTCTCCCTCGTATGCGTGACTGAAGGAGCGAAAGGGAAAGGGGGAAGGGTCATGAGATCTATTTGTCAGCGTCATGGCATCCACTCTGGACTAATTGGGGGCTCGGAGCAGCAGAAGCAGTATTGCTTTCCTGATCCTTCCATTCCGTCCTCGGGGGGACCATATTTCCCAATCAAGCGAGCAGACAGAGTTCCCAGCTGGTCCAGCGCCAGATAGAGGTCGAGGAAGAGAAGGAGCATCTTCATCCTTTCATCTTTTTTTTTTTGTTCAATGTGGCCGCTGGTTCTACGTCAAAAGAGTATTAAGGCTTGATCTAAAGGATAGAGATATTTTGGATTTTTCATGCAGATGATCCATACATATTCATGCATCGTTAACCTTATCTCCACCCACATTCCCCCCAGATATAAAGTTTTTCAATATGAAGTTCAACCCATCAAGACCCGGTTATGTGAGGGAATAATCGTAATGACCGATGGAAGGGATGGAAGGGGCGAAAAATCCCCCATTTGCAGATAAGCCGTTATCATTTATGGGATTTATGAAGTAATATTTCCTCTGCCTCCAGGGACGTGGCATGGCGCCTGGAATTTCCCTAATGAGCCCGTCTCCTATCTAGCAATGAGAGGAAAGAGAGAATGGGGCATTTAGGCAGAATGATGTCACATTGAAATGAGGAACCATCTGGTATGCCAAGTGACTGAAACCCTTTGAAAAGTTTTCCCTCTAAAAGAGCAAAGGCAGAATTTCTTTTTTTCCTGCTCCCGCCGCTTTCTCTCTTTTTCTATTATGGGGAGGTATTCATAAAGTATTGGAAGGGAGAGGGATGGAAGATGGATCATGGGCGGGAGTCGGCTTCCCATTCCATCTTGTGCCAGGAGAACAATGCTTCCTGCCATAGAGCAAGATCCTTTCTCTCTCTCTCTCTCTCCGTCTGTCTCTTTCGCTTTTGGGGAGGAAGAAGAAAAAAAATTGCCACTGCTCTGCATAAAAGAAGGGACAGGGTGTAATGGAAGGGACAGGAAGGGGAATAGAAGGAAGAGTGAGAGAAAAAAAAAAAAGCAATTCCCTTGAAAGCATTGTGGCTCCCGGTCAGATGGGAATACCTTCCTGTTCCTCCCCTCCCTTCCATTAGACGTTTCCCAAAAACTCCATCTGGATCTTTTGACGATGGTGACGATGATGAAAAATAAGTCCCCCGAAGGGAAGGGGATGCAAAATGAAGGGTGGAAGGGATTTATTTGAAGGGGGTGGAAAACCTGAAAATGACAAGGCAATCAGTCTTTTGTGTCTTTGTGGGAGTAGAGGACAAAATCGGAATCGGAATTACGGATCCGACGGCATCTGCCCTGCCGTGTTGTCAGCTGCTGATTGAATGATAATGAAGGAAAGAGAAGAGAAATGAGAAGATCCTCCTCATTTCTCCCACGCATCAGATGCCTCTGATTATCTCCAGCCGCCTCCCTCCGATTGCATGCACCGGCGAAGCCTGGGCTTTGTTGGTGGCGTGACTCAATGACAACTTCTTGCACGGAATAATAATATTGCATTCCCGGGGAAAGGGATTTCTGTTTCGGTGTGACTTCACTGCTAAGCCCCTTGTAGATCCACTCGATTCGGTGTGTTCCCGATAGGGTTGTCCTCAATATGGCTGCATGAGCGTTGCTTGAATGAGCATTCACATCTCCATTAGAACAATTGAAGCGGCGACGCGCCAACTCGCCCACACCCGTTTCTGTATGATAAAAGCTGCTTGCTCCTTAAACTCCGTCTGGAATCTCATTTCCTGTTGCTTTTAACACATTCACTGCCGTTCACTTCATATGGCGTGTTCGGCGCGACGAACCTCCACTACTGTGCTTGGCAAGGAGAGGTTGAGTGAGCATTTAAGTCCTCGGCAGTCAAAGGGTTAAGAAACGGTGACGGTTGTTTTTACTGGGTTGTTGAATTTACTAGTCGGTGGTCAGTGGAAACTCCCACTTGTCAGATAGCGCAGCACCGTATTTCGGCGAGCAAGGAATGATGTCTATAAGTAGCGTGCATGATCTGCTCACCTTTTAGATCTTCCGTGCCGTCGCAAGGTCGAATCGATTGAACACTTTCCCTCTTCCTTGATGGAAAGTCTTTACTTTTGAATCGAGCTCTGTCCGTACTTTTGGATGGAATTCTGTACCTTTTGAATCTTGTTGGATGTTGCATGCTTTCTTGGATTTGGGTGCTGCTGACCGAGAAAATACACGACAAAGAGCCCAACTTTCATTCCCGAACCGGTCGGACAGAACAAGGAACCCTATTAATGATGGGATACCCCTCTCCTTGCAGTGTTACGAGCGGATCCTGAGTGTGGAGCCGGAGAATGTGCAGGCACAGCACAATCTGTGCGTGGTGTACGTGGAGCGTGGAGAGCTGGGGAAGGCGGAGACCTGCTTCGCCACCGCCCACCGCCTTGCCCCCCACGAAGACTACATCCACCGACACTGGGGCATCGTCCGCACCCGCATCCAGCAGCAACAACAGCAACAGCAACACCAACACCAGCAGCAACAGCAACCTCAACATAGACCACCGGAACCGTCTTGCGAAGGAGACGGTGCCTCCTGCCCGCCCGCCCTGTAATGGCCGGGGAACATTGGCATTGGCCCCCTGGGACTCACTCAGAGATACCAGGGAATAAGAGCTTTATCTGACCTCGTCCTAAGCCATTCTCTTTGATTGTCATTCCTTGGATGGATCCCACGAGGGTTTCTCCCCCCTCTCAAGACTTGCAATCCTCCTTCCGGTTCCTTTCTTGCTTTCTGACCTTCATTCCGGCCGATTCCGGTCCGTCTTCCTCTGACTCCAGCGCAACGTCGAGACCGTTTTCGGGATGAAAGGGATCCCCTGTGCCAATTCCGACTTGCCAGTCGTCCTCTGTTGTTTCTCACAATACCCCTCGTACCTTTGAGAGAATACGTGCGGTTGTGCCTTCCATCGTGACTCTCGCTCTTGCACTCTTTCCCCAGACGGGTCGGTTTCTTGCTGTTTTTCTCCAACGCCTACTTTCAGTTGTTGTTCCTTGATTAGTATGCGTTTATTTATCATTATGGGACGCGGAAAAAGAAACTGGAAGGCCCGTCTGGGGAAGAATGCAGATTGGCTTCATCTCTTTCTCCTCTGCATCTCGTTGAGGTTGTGAAAGCAAAAAAGAGTGTGACATTTGAAAAAGCATATTCGCTCCTCTTCAGTCTATCGTGCTGCTGCCATTCTACTCCCGCTATTGCTTCTATTTTTGGCGGATCTTCTTGTTGACGAATTTTCGATTGAATTTTATGGGAAATGGAGATATTGTGATTTTTTCCTCTTCTATTTCATGATATGTGTCACTCTTTCCCTGGAGATGACGATTGTCTCTTCACCTGCCTGTGATACGATAAAAGGGAAGTTTATTATCATGGAATAAAAACATGATTTTTCAGCGTCATCACTCGTTTGCCATTCTCTCGCTCTCAGGAATTGCATTCTGGCATAATGAACGATGTCACTATAGGAATGGTGGAAGTTTCCTCGATCGTAAAAACTCTGAGTGCAGAGAAAAATGCTCCTGCAAACTGCACGTCGTGGGATTCGATCGACTGGGCAAATTTTGGATGGGAACGCAAAGAACAGAACCCACAATAGCAGTATCGGTGGGGAGAGGGATGGAGGTGATGACGCCGGAGTCCTCTCATTGTGCTTAATTCCATGCTCTCGCGACGTGATCGATGTGGACATGAAAAGGAAAGGCTTTTGCTCCGTATCAGAGCCTTCATAGCCGGGAGGTCGATGATCCTCGTTCGTGTCCCGTTGCCGGGGAATGCGAAATTCCTGCCTGCCTTGCATAATGATCATCCTCATCGACCTCGCTCGGCTCCCTCGCTCTAATTCTCATAATTCCTCCCCCCCCCCCCCCCCCCCCCCCCCCCCCCCCCCTCCCCCTCGCTCTAATTCTCATAATTCCCCCCCCCCCCCCCCCCCTACCCGAAGCGTTTCATCGAGCCCTTCGTCCTTGGAAGGGGGACATCTGCCGGGAGACTGTGGAAAGGGATGCAGGACTCTCCATATGAACGAACGAGTGGGTGGCCGGACTCGGTCGCTTGAATGCAACGAGGCGGAAAACTTTGGAGCTGACAGGAAAAACGCGGGACTGGAACGAACATTTGAGGAATTGTAGACGCGAGGAAGGAGCTGCCGTTGCCAAAGTCGCGTCTCAGATTTTTCAATGGGCCACGTTAGTGGGTGCAAATGGCTTTTCGCGTTCCTAGAGCCGATCCGCAGAGAAACATATGGTGACGGAGTTGGCATGGATTCCTATCCTTTCGAGAGCTTCATCACCTCAACACTAGATGTCTCTCGCGAGAGGACAGAGACGTCTCGAAGAGAGTGCGAACGGCAGCTGCAGCGTCTCCAACTCCTCCCCGAGTCTCTTCGTCCCGCCGGGCTGGGAAATTCGTCAGACGAGGCCGAGATGGGAAGAGAGGAGGATGTCGGTCGGCCTCGCGGCCACGAACGTTCGCTCCGCCGGTTCATCGTGGCGAGTGGGAATCGAACAGTCGTGAGTCTCGTCCGGTGCTTATTTTCGTCTCGTAACGTCGGGGTTCGGGTTACGTTCAGGGTACAAGTTTAGAGCTTTTCAAGGTGCCATTTGGACGCGTGGCGGTCGGAAGAATGACGGAGACAGAGCGGAAGATATTCTTGGACTTGGCAATGAGCATCGTCAGACTCGTCTGCGCGAAAGCCCAACTAATTGATGGTGTCTGTGCTGCGTTTGCCTCGACTTTGTGCAACGCGTTTTTCTGTCTGAGATGACACGAAGGAACTTCGATGGACGCAAGATCTCGGACCAAAGGAATGTCGACGGATTCAGAACCAAATAAAACTTTTTATTTATTGTTATGATGCAATAAAAAAAAAAGGAGCGATGCGTTACGAGCGGACTTACACCCATCGCAAGCCATTTCACACCTGTAATGTCCCATTACCCTAGATTCCGATCAATATCTCTCGTCCTCCTTCATGTTAACCCAAACAGGAAGCATGGAGTCGTTCTTCCGTCTCATTCAAGTTTCAAGGCAGGTTTCTTGGGCAATTTAGGTCTCTTCAATCGTAGAAGCCTGTAAAGGATGTTTTTGTTTTTTTTTTTTTGCTGGCTTCGTCGTTCAGGAATATGGCTCGTTGTCGAGATGAAAAACGTTACTGCAGGCCCCTACCTATAACAATTTTCATATATATAGACGTGTCTGTGATCGGACTCGGTCGCCTGAATGCAATGAGGTGGAAAACTTTAGAGCAGACAGGAAAAACGCGGGGCTGGAACGGACATAGGAGGAATTGTAGACGTGAAGAAAGAGCTGCCGTTGCCAAAGTCGCGTCTCAGATTTTTCAATGGGCCGCGTTAGTGGGTGCAAATGGCTTTTCGCATTCCTAGAGCCAGTCCAAAGAGAAACATACGGTGACTCGGAGTTGGCGTAGATTCCCGCCCGTTCGAGAGCTTCATTCCCTCAACACTAGATGTCTCTCGCGGGAGGACGGAGACCTCCCGTGACGAACGGCAGCCGCTGCGTCTCCGAATCCTCCTCGAGTCTCCCCGTCCCGATGGGCTGGGAGATCTCCCAGACGAGGTCGAGACGGAAAGGGGTGAGGATGTTCGGCGCGCTCAACATCCTCTTCTCTTCGCAGAAGTTCCTTCGTCGACACGAAGGAACTTCGGTCACGCCTCATCTCTTCGCCTCACTCCCCGACTCTCTAGACGAGAGAAAAAGCCTCTCAGGAGGGAAGTGGAGCGATCTCGTCTTCCCCCGAATGGGTCCCCGGCGACCGAGCAAATCCCCCGGCCGCTCGCGAGAAACCGACTCTGTCGCTCGCAAAACTTGCAAAAAAACGGAAGTCGGCCGAAATCCCGCACGGATGAGTCACGCCGGACGCGTTCCCTTTCCGTCGCCGCGAATGCATTCGACCGACGAACGCAATCGTGAGGGTACGTGCTGCCGCTCGCCTCGAAGATCGCTCGATCGGACCAATCGATGCAATCGCGGGGGCTTTAACCTTCGACCACGCCTCGGAAGAGTCATGGGATTTCCCCATCTGCCCGCAAAATCATGAAATGTCCGAAAGAGTTGTTCAACTCTCAATGCAGCCTGGGGTCCGACCACCATACCACAAATAAAAAAAAAAAAATATAAAAAAAAACAAGTTGGGCAAGCCCAGTTCAGTAGTTCCTTTCAGTTAAGGAAACCCTCATTTTGTCACCTAATTGAACAAAATGCCATCTCTTTCCGGTCTTCAACCATCAAAAACCTAATTTCTCATTTATATTTGGTAAACAGAGAAACGGTGCCCTTGAAACGATGATGGGAGGACGGAGGGCTTCGCACGATTGCATCCACCCACCGCAAAGGTCGGTTGGGAACTGAGAGCTCTGGTCCCTGACACGGCGCCGCGCCCAAAGCTTGGGCCGCACGCGCATGCGCATTGCGGTCAAGAACCTGAACGGCCCACGGGTGCTCATGCCCGCTCATGCCTTCCCTTCCGTGACCAAATTTCAAATCCAAAATTTACAGTAAAAATGCCAATTTTGGTGCAAATTCGCCCCAAAACGAAGTCAGCACGTATCTTGTTCATATCTACTCGCTTGTCAATTTTCGCATTGATCAAGCCAATATTTTTTTAGTCATCGTCGGACGACCAAAGTGTGACTGACAGGACGGGACCAAAAGTGGTCTCTCCTTTCAGGGAAGGAGGCCCACCGGAAAGGAGAGGCGATGGCGTTCCGAATTCAAATGTTAACATGATTTTCCGGTTGATGTCTTTTGGCTCTCGGTCGCTCGGATCCGCACTTTATTTCGCGATCGTTGCCGGACTTAAGAAAAGAGAATCCCGTGATGAAACGTATGATCAGATTTCCATCTGAATTTTAAGACGGTCGGGATCAGACGCTCGCCACAAATCCAGACGATGGCGCTTCGGGTCGCTGCAATCTCCTGCGAAGTCGACTCCGTGTCCCATATCGCCGGCAGCCCGAAAGCCAGCAGCCAGGTGTCCACGATAACCTGCAATGATCGATCACTTTTCCCTCCTGGCCTTCGTCTCCCTCCGTCTCACAGAGAGAGAGAGAGAGAGAGAAGAACCTTGAAGGAAATGAACGAACGTGATAGAGAGGAAGTGGAGCATTCGTCCACGTCGCATCCACCGATGGGGAGAGAGAGAAGGAGAGAGACCCACAAGGATTAATGGCGGGCACCAGGCATGCGTGGGATCGTCCGGAAATCACCGGTCCTTCCCGAGGACATCCGGCAAAATGAGTCCCCGTCTTCCCCCTAAATCAAAGTCACGTCCTCCTTTGTAACCTGAGGGAGGAATATCGTGCCTCCCTCCGCTCGCGCCTCCATCCGCTCGTGCCTCCATCCATCCTCTCGTTACGACGGGCCCTCCCACCTCGAGAAGGAAACTGATTTTCATACCGGTTGTCTATAGCTTTCCGGACGGGTAATATGCATGTGCAGACATCCGATTAATGAAATGCTCCCGGAAGCGGAAGGACCTGATGGAAAGTGCACCTCTCTCTGCTCGTCTTCACGAGGGAGAAATTCGCTTTCTTCTCGGAGCAGGTATTTTCTCTCCGGTCCCCCGGGAATCCATTTCATCTCCAAAGGCACTCCATCCTCCTCTTTATTCATATCCCAAGTCTTGCAGAGGCCTACGCCATTCGCCCCCTCACTTCACTTATTTATTTTTCCTTACTTATTTTCCCCCTCCCCTCAGACGCGACGTCTCACCCCCACGGAAGTGGGAAGGCTCGATCACCGGGGAAGTCGGTGAGAGCCTCGCGTCGTCACGCGTCCCAGCCTCGTCTAGCCTCTTATATTCCGTCTGGAACGAATCGGAGACTCGAGTAGCGGACCGGCGCGACGGCTCCTCTCACGACGAAAGTACTCTGGTACCGCCCCGAGCGGATCGAGATGTCCCCCGCCCTGCTTTCTCGAGAGACGGCTCTCCAAAACTGCAGGGGATAGGGAATTGTTTCATTCATACAGCGGTTTCCCGTCGTCCAGTTTAGCGCCAGTCTCCCTCACTTCCCTTCTTCCCGCCTCCCCTGCCATCTAGTGGTCTTCCCGCAAGCCTCCCCTGCCATCTAGCGGCCTCTCCGGAAAGCATCCCGGTCCTCCTCGCCTCTCACCCGCGAAAGCGCCACTTCATCGTCGGCGCCGCGCGAAGCGTCTCGCTCGAACCCGGTCAGCCCGAGGTTCGGATGTTCGACAAGGTTCTATCTGCTGAATTAAATGTCGAATGGATTCGAAATTCAGTGTCATTCCAAGGTTTCGTGCGAAACAGCATTTCCGCTTCAAGTGTGGCCTGTAAAGTTTGATGCAAGGCCAACACATTACAAGGCCATACACATACACGTGCTCGTTGAGTCGACAATCGCAATCAAAATTCCCTA